GTTGAAAAATGACTGAATGAAAGAAAGAAAGAAAGAAAGAAAGAAAGAAAGAAGGGAAACGTTTCATTAAAATGGAAAATGTTATCAATTTCAAATCTGTTCATTTGTACCCACTTCTTAAAATAACGACCAACATTGCAATATTTTGTTAAAATTGTCAAGCTCAAATATTTGGCGATTCATTAGGGAAATTTCCACGGCTATTTTCTTATCGTTGAAATCATCATGAGCTTACTCAGTCATTAACTTAAATAGTAAGATTCATCAGAAAATGAAAATAAGGAAAACAGTCAAATTTATCCGGCTTTTTCTAGTTATTGTTATAAAAGTTTAGTACTACCAATAAAAAAAATCTAGGGTATAGAAACGAAATTCGCATCCTTGTTTACGGAGATCTGAGTTTAAACCAGAAAAAAAGAAGGATTTACCCAACCAGCTTATGATCAATGTCTTCTCAGGAGATCTTACCAGGAGTAAATGTTAAGGAATGAAATAAATCCAGTTTCGTTTCTACACACAAGTTTAAATGACTACTTATCTTCTGATGAATGTCAAACCTAAGGCATTAGGTTGGTTGGATGTTTTTGTCTAACGGCATATCAAACTCTATGAGTCATTTCAAGCTGAAATCTAAATATTTTGTATAGAATTTTCATTTTTTAGATAATAATGATCTACTGATACAAGTTTTACTGATTGACCCATAGCTGGGGGGAAGGACAGGTGGATTCATACTTTTCCCAACGGTATTTGCGCGTAAGTGAATATAACGAACACAACGGGAATTGGAACTCCGTTCTCTGATTAACAATTCCAACCCATTATCCATTGCACCACCCACACGTCCAACCTTACAGCATCAGGTATTCTCAAGCGGTTACCCATGTAGATACTGACCAGGCTCGACGTTGCTTACTTCGGTGATCGTAGGGGAACCAATGTTTCAACGTGATGTGCCTTTGAAGTAATTATGAGAGAATGGGGTAATATCTTTATTGAAAGATACAGCAACATTTTAATTTACGCCATGCCTAAAAATTAATATAAGCAAAAAATCACTAATCTCTGTGAGACTTCATCATCAATATCTAAAAATGGCTTCAATCAACGGAATCATCCTTTGGCTATTGAAGAAGACAATCGTTCATTAGACACTAAAGAATGGCGCTGCAGAATCAAAACCAAACAGATTTACCAAATAAAAAACACATCATTTGAAAACCTCCAACAGCAACAACTAACATAGGCATATGTAACTATAGGAGAAAACAATGATATAATCAAGATGATGAACTACCACACTACATTAATCAAAAGGGTAGGAAGGAAACTTCCGTCAATACTATAAAGTCCTGCGTATATGGTGTAGCATACCTACGAACCATTATGGGCATGTTCCCATTCACATAAATACAGTAGTAATTACTGTATGTTGGTCTGCAATTAGAGATTCGTCTCCAGCTGTGCTGCTCAAACTCTCTGCCTCTGGGCAGAGAGGATCCCCAGACGAGGCTATGTCGAATGGCAAAGTCTCGTCTCGGAAAACAGCTACTCGACCTCGTTTTATACGGAGTCTACAGGAAATTTTTGCCCGAGCCTACGGGCTCGTTCGGACACCCCTCATTAAATTCGACCTTGTGCCACATCTGACCGCGTGGTGAGGTTGGTAGATATACTGCAGTTGGATATTCATTATGGAATTCACTTGACCTACATCTAGCAATTGACTATTCCTTCTACGCGCCGCTGGCGAATCTTATATGTGTTGTTCTTGTCCTAAGTGTTATCGTTCATTACCAACCTTCGTTTGATTATTTTATTCATTAACCTTCCCTAGGTTACAACAGTATGACGATAAACTACACCCGGTATTTTGGAGGTTTTGATGAGTCTGGGACCATCTCTTAATTGCTGTTGATTAGAGGCCCACCCTAACCCGGTGTAGAAGAACCTGTTAAGGCCCCAGCTATGGGCAAATAGTAAACGACCCAAGCAAAAACACGATGAAAATATAAATACATTTTTCTCGCCTTCCTTTACTACTTACTTTAGTCAAGTTTTTTACAATCTATTTAAAACTAAAATTAATCCTAAGTAGTCCTAGAAACTAAATTCGACAGTAGCGCCACTAATTGGGAGATTGAAGGTTTGGGGAGCGTGGAACCGCCTCTTAATTGTTGCTGTTCCCAGATCAACTCTGACCCGGGGTTGAAAGCACATGTTAACTGTCCTCACTGTGTTTGCGATAATTATAAGCAAATCACAAGACCAAGCCCTTAAAAAGTTGGAGTTTGGCTCCAGAAAGAAATATATATGCATATGTATGTTGCATGCTCAAGAATGAGAAATCGATCTAGACGAAGAATTGGAAGCATTATTTCATGAAGATTCATGTCAGGCGCAAGCTGAACTTGCAGAATCTTTAGGAGTTGATCACACAACGTTTGAAAGCAGTAGAGATGATTCAAAAGAGAAGACATTGGGTGCTATACGAGTTGAAGTCGAGAGACGTCGAACGGCGTCTTGTCACGTCTGAACAGCCGCTTGAACAGCAAAAAAGAAAAGTTTTTTTTGCATCGTATCGTGACCAGTGATGAAAAGTGGATACACTACGATAGCCCTAAGCGTAGAATATCGTGGGGTAATCCCGTCCATGCACCAACATCGGCGGCAAAGTCGAATGTCTATGGTTCGAAGTTTTTGCTCTGCATTTGGTGGGAACAGCTGAGTGTAGTTTATTATGAGCTGCTCAAACCGACCGAAACCATCACGGCAGATTGCTATCGACTAATATTGATGCGTTTGAGCCGAGCATTAAAGAAATAATGGCCGCTATAAGAGCAGAGACACGACAAAGTGATTTTGCAACCAGACAACACTAGGCCACATGTTATAAAACGGCTGAAAACCTACTGGGAAACTACCTACCAGCCGTATTCACCGGACATTGCACCGTCCGATTATCACTTGTTGCGATCGATGGCACATGGCCTGACTGAGCAGGACTTTCATTCTTATGACGATGTCAAAAAATGGGTCGACTCGTTGTTAGCCTCAGAAGACGGGTCATTTTTCTGACGTGGAATTCAAATGCTTCCAGAAAAAAGAGGAAAGTAATGGCGAGCAATGGACAATACTTTTAATGACGTGTTTCTTAGTAATTTTTGTAAATAAAACTCTACTTTTCATGAAAAATAGCAAGAACTTTTCCAAGGTCCTGATATATATATATATATATATATATATATATATATATATATATATATATATAAGACAAAGAAGTATAGTTTTATGGTATCCTATATTTATGGATAAAAGTGATCATTGTCAGAGATGGATAGAAAATAAATGGCAGAAAGATTACAATTAAGCATGTGGCAACTGGCATATATATATATATATATATATATATATATATATATATATATATATGAGACAGACAAAAAGGGATAGAGAGAGAGAAATAAAGAGCGACATATTGCTTTGGCGCGAAATAGTTTGATACGACTTCATCTTGGAAAACTCGATATTTACAATGTGACTGGCCTACATTGTGCCAAAATTATAGAGGGCCTTATTGTATGTTTATCTTCAAGACAAGGTATTAAATAACTTCTTACTTGCATAACTTCATGCTTTCCAGTTAACTTTGATCTCCCATGATTTGATCTTTAAATACAATGTCAATCGTTATCTTCTGTTTCCTTAATTTTCTCACTCTTAGAAGACTTCATTCATTTCCTTAGCGTGGAAGGATATATATATATATATATATATATATATATATATATATATATATATATATATATATATATATATATTGCAAGATTAATGGATCCATTTTTAATGCGATATTTTGCCACTTCAAAGCGTGGATACTCGTATTTGAAACAGACGGCCGATAATCGTAATACACGCTATAAAAGTAAAAAATAAACATAGGACGTCTATTTCAAATAACGTTTTTCAGTGGTATATATATATATATATATATATATATATATATATATATATATATATTATTTAAAAAAAAATATAATTTGACCTCTACTTCTGTATGAAGCACTGTTTTCTAAAAATATATACAAAAATACTAAAGAACTCCGGATTATTTACCTAACGTGTTCTTTACTATTTTTTTACATACCACACACACACACACACACACACACACACACAAATATATATATATATATATATATATATATATATATATATATATATATATAATTTTGATTATCTGACTACTTTCGCTTTAGTGAGTTTTTACTTTTTTGTGCCATGTCATTTTAATAATTTCTAATTTTCGCTTTGTATTTTCACGTGACACAAACTGCAACTGAAATAATCTATCTCTCTCTCTTTCTCTCTCTCTCTCTCTCTCTCTCTCTCTATATATATATATATATATATATATATATATCGGTGATTTTGCTCTTCGGCGAGTGGGAGGGAGAAGTCTTCTCGATCTATGAAACAATCTAGAAAGACGAAATAAATTTGTTTTTCATCACGGAACACATGCCTTAAGTAAATATGGCAGCATTGACAAAAAAAAAGTTGGCGCAAACAGAAGAACAACAGTAAACATTTCTTTGGTTTTGTGAAGTCGTGATAATAAAAGAAATGAAGAGAAGAAATGCTAAGGCCAAGATATTAAACTAAAAAGAAAATAAGGGAACAGGGAGTTTTTCTTTCTCACGAGAATTTATCCCTTAGAAAATGTGTTCCAGACGAAATGTACAGGAAATCGGTCGCTGTGATGTTTAAATTGTTACAGGGTGCTCGTCTTACTTGTGTAAATGAAACGAAAAACCGTAATGTGTTATCAGACGAACATTTTCAAGTATTTAATTTTGCTGGAATACTCAGATTATTACAAATAGAAATGTGTACTCAAGAACATTTTATCGTTTGAAAAACTATGATATAAACAATAAGAATACTTTAAATCATTTCCATGCTGTCTATTGTCTTCCTCTTTGGCTTACGACTGTATTACGTTGAAACACCGGTTCCCGTACGATCACCGAAGTTAAGCAATGTTGAGCCTGATCCATAACTAGATGGGCGACCTCTTGCTAATATCAGTTTCTGCGAGTGGTGTAATAAATTATGGCTCGGAATTGTTAATTAGAGATCCGAGTTCTAATTTCAGTTGGCTTCGTTATATTCATTTAGGCGTAAATACTATATGGAAAGGTATGAATTCGACTCTTCCCCCAGCTATGGATTGATTAGTAGGGTTGTGATCTAAAAATTGAAAAAAAAAAAGACACTCTTACAGTCTAAAAATAGTTCTTGCTTTAAATGTATCGTAAATGGTTGATAACGTATCAAACAATCCTAATTATTGTTGTTATTATTAAAAGATTTCGGCCGTTTTGTTCTCCGGCCATCATCAGGTACATGTCGATCCCGGAGAGGGCAATAATCGAAACGTAACAACAATAAAAATGAGCACAATGATCTTCTCATCCCAGAAATTCAGACGGAAATTATTGGTTTATCTTTTCTTTTTTTTGTAATAAATGTCACCGAACGCAAGGCCAGAGAGCCACTCAAGGTAGACGGCTACAGTTTGTTAAATGGTAATGATGAATGTGGTGTCTACTATGAATTAGAAAGGGGGTAGCATGACATGGTATAAGAAGAACAGTTAACGATTGACAGTTGACTTGAAGAGGATATGACAACTCATTATCGGGCATGATAATCTAGATTGATGAAAAATAATTTTATTTATGTCAAGAAAACTATGAACACCGTGTCAAAATCTAGGACAGTCTTTACCATCTCAACAATGACAGAATCTGCGGGGGAAAATGTTCATCTTGGGGTTTCGTAGAATTCAGTTGGAATCTTTTAATATGAATTAATGAATTTCAGATAAAAAGTCATAAATATTACCCTGGGCAGTTGGCTCGTTTGTCTGACGCATTAGGAAAAGGACTTTTTTTTCTGGGGAAGGAAGTCGGCCGGTGGTTTGGTTGCATAGCTCTGTCCGTCTTAACATTTCAAATCAGATTTAGTAAATGACAACAAAACTGGGATGGCAATTTCTTCCCTACTATGCCTATTCACTTAACCTATTCATTTTCCAGCGCCATTAACACCCTACGCCATACTTTGTCTTGTTTGTGATTTCAACACATTAAATACATTGAAAAAGTTTTCGAAACTGTTATGTGCAGTAGCAGTCGTAGCACAGTTCTCCGCGTTACGCTTAGCAAACGGGTTTGCAAAGCAATGCACCCATGTTCACTAGTTGTTCTCTATTTATACTTGTCTATTTCATTTGCATACTATACTGCACCTCCCTGAATCGGAGAGGTCGTATATCCTTTTTTTTTTCTTTTACTATTCCTGATTATTCTCGTATTGTGCTGTCTTTCCTCTTGTCTTTTCTGTTTTTTCTTTGATGGTGGTCTTGGTCTGTCTTCTTTTTATCCTTCACTCTCGCAAGTGCAGCAAAAATTCTAATCCATATTTCTATGTGTTCTGGGTCGTCCAGCGAATTTAACGATCATATCGTCGATGCCATTGTTATGTTTGTGCATATCTCACTGTGTAGTAGCAGTCGTAGCACAGTTCTCCGTGTTACGTTAAGCAAACGGGTTTGCTAAACAATGACCTTATGTTCACCAGTTGTTCTCTATTTATACTTGTCTATCTCATTTGCATACGATACTACAGAAACATTGATGACATTAAAAATCGGAATACGCAATTCATCAGCCAAAGAAACTACTTTGGTGATTGATTAATGATGCTATTTATATCTATATGAACAAATATTTTTGTCCCGAAATGCGGAAACATTTGTATCAACCAGATATGAAGGGATGCGCAATTTAATCAAAATGTCTTAGAAAACGACTGAATAATGACGCCATGAATTTATATGAATATAAAGATTTTATTAAATAAATGCTAAACAATTTAAGAATAATATGTAACTTCGAATAAAGAATACATTGTATCTAGTCCGCAATTACTAGAAAATTTTTACAGGGGTACGAAAAACTAGTTGGTAGGGTTAAACGCAATTAAGCTGTAAGTGTTATTTATATGATATTTGGCCTTTCGTGTCCTTTTTTAGTTGCAGTGAATATTTTTCCATCTTCGGTTAAGCTGTGTGGTATGGTTTATCTCCCCTTATATGTATATTGTATTTAAATAAGACACATTTTTAAGTTGAATAAAAGTTCGGATAAGTTATAACTCCGTTTGTTTTCTCATTACTAGCTAGGGTACAGAATTTTACTAATGCGATAAAAATAAGAAAAATTAATTTAAAAAAAAAGGCGGTTAAAAAATAACATTACCTTAAAGTGGTAATATCGAAACACAACAAAATTAATAAAAAGGAGGTTAAAAAATAACATTACCATAAAGTGGTAATATCGAAACACAACAAAATTAATAAAGAAGGTGGTTAGAAAATAACATTACCGTAAAGTGGTAATATCAAAACACAACAAAATTAATAAAAAAGGTGATTAAAAATAACATTACCGTAAAGTGGTAATATCGAAAAACAACAAAATTGATAAAAAAAAAGGTAAACCGGTTTAATCAGTGCTATCAATCGAAGACAAAAAAAGTTCTTGGAAGTGTTAAAAGTAATTAGCCCATAAGTGTTATTTTGTCTTTGGTATCCATTTTTAGTTACTGTGCCTTTTTTCTGTAATGTGAGTAGACCAATAAACAAGTTTAGCTGTATTTTTTGTTAATCGTACTAGATTTTGATATTACCACTTTACGGTAATGTTACTTTTTGTCACATCTCTTTTTTGTTATTAATTTTTATTCATGTGTTCCCATGTCTTTTTTTATCGCTGTAATAAAATGCTAAATTCTTGCGCATCAATTTAGTACAAGGCTAAAATTCAAAGACCATAACAAGACTCCGCCTTTCAAGACTAATTTTAGTTACACTATTCATTCAGTCAACCACATTAACAAAAACAAAAATACAAAAAAAATAGGAGACATTTGTAGAAACGTTACAAGAAAAGCAAAAGGTATTCAGTATTGAGGTCAGCTCTAAGAAACGTTCGTCAAACAAAGCCTAATATTCACACCAGTTTGGGATTTTATTTGATTCAGGTCAGTTCGTATTTGATAACAAAGAATTCGTAACAAAGACTGTATATTAATACATTCTTCTCAGGTCAGTAATTCCAAGAATTCCACAAAAACCAGAACCACAGAATATAACGATTAATTTCTACAATGCACTTGCTAAGTTTTTATAGCATTCATATCTGCTGGATCTTAGTGAAGATCAAATAACAGCAAGTATCCTCAGTTCAGTATTCTTCCTTAATATTATTATATGATTTTCCACACTAGTAATAGTTACGGATGTGTGGGTAGCGTAACTGTTATCGGTGCTAAAAAAGTTACAATAGTCGAACCTAGTTCAAATATCGACCTAACCATGAGGCCATATCACGTTCAAACACTGGTTAAGCAACGTCGAGCCTGATCAGTATCTAGAAGAGTGACCGCTTGGGAAAATCAGATGCTGGAAGCTTGGATATGTGAGTGGTGTAATGGATAACGGCTCGAAATCGGAGCTCAAAGAGCTAGTTCCAATTCCAGTCAAGTTGTTTATATTCACTTAGATGCAGATACCTTTGGGAAAGGCATGAACCCACCTCTTCCCCACACAGCCCTGGGTTAATTAGTGGGACTTGAATCAGTAAATCATTATTATCTCTAAAAAAGAAATTCTTACAATGTAAAAATATTTTCTGGCTTAACATAACACTGTAAAAGGGTTAACAAACAAACCAATCAATTAATCAAAACACTATTGCGTTCATTTTCGCACAAATTCCCTTAGGAAATAACGAATCTATTTATTCTTCTCTCTAGATATGTGTTAAATAGTAGTGTAGACTTGGTTCTCTAGCCTTAGGTGTAAACCAGCCTTTCAGAAGGAAAATCTCTGAATTCTAAACGGAGAAGACAACAGAAAACGAATTCACTATTCTTCTGAAGAATCCATGACAAATTTTTTTCAATTCTGTTATCTTCTTACTTGGCAACCTTCCAGGAATCTTTAACTGAAATTGTTTTAAATTCAAAGTTCTTAACTCATTTGCAATAGTAATTGTCTCTAAATGTAGCTCGTTAACGGTTACTGTATGGTGAGTCCAATGCTCCATGGAGAACTAGTACTTTTTATTTTTTATTTTTATTGTTTGGATGTAGTGCAATGGTTAGTGTGATCTTCTCAAAGATTAGATCGTTTCTGTTCGACCCACAGCGGATGACTTACCAATAACCTGCACTAGTATTTCACTAGATTGTTTTTTCTCTTATCCAGTTATTTTCAGTACGTGGCATCATATGTGTGTGTGGATAGGGGGTGCTTACTACATCAATAAATCCCTAGCTTAATAAATAAAAAACATGTATATTATACATCAAATATTTTTAATCTTCCTACCACATAGATGAAACATTACAAAATGAAATTATCAGATCAAAAATAGGCTAATAACTGTGTCAGGTTACGAACTTATTTATTAACTCTCGAAAATAAAATAAAATAAACGAAAGGGAGGGGAAACTAAGCTCATTAATATACAGCCTGACGGAGAACCCATTGTTTTTTTCTAAAATTTTTCGGATGCACAGGCCGATAGACATAATACACACTATTTAATAAATAAAAATACGCCGTTTATTTTAAGTACTGTGTATCCACTACAATAAAATAATGTACATATGAATTGATTTTTTTGAAACTTTCAATGTATAAAACAGTTGTTTTATTGTTTAAACTATTTCTAAACTCAGTTGTTACAGAACGACGATAGCTCTTCCTCTGTGGTGGAAAATTCATAATGAAAATCAAATACCAGTTTAAATTAAATTCTTGGCAATAGTTTGTTAACTTATATCTACTAGATGATGATGTCATTTAAAACTCAGAATATATGAAAAAATGAAAAATATTCATACGTAAAAAAAAAAAAAAATATTCAAACGTAACAAAAAATCTCCAGCCCAAGGAAAGCCACCCAATGAAAACAAGTCTCTTCTAAACACCAGACTTTACCCACCAATCTCAA